AGCCCTAACCCGAGTTTCTCTTTGACGATCTCAATGGTAGTCTCGCGCCCACCCTTTACTTGACATGTCTTGAGGTCACTGTGTTGTGGATCAGACGCTTCTTTTAGATGAGTGAAAAAAGACTGAGTGTTCGCTCCATAAGAGTCCAAATTAGAAGAAACTAAATGTGTTTTGTGTGTAACAGGTGTGGGAAGTGCTGGAATTGTTTTTTGATTGGCCCGGGATAGGGATCCGTTCGTAGCGGTCGACGTCCGAATCGGGCCGTGCAGTGATTTGTGCACTGTTTGTGGTTTGGGAAGTGTAGGTGGAGGTGCACTGGGATCTGAAATAGAAATCACATTTCGCATGCCTTTATTGAAAAATTATTTATGATTCTGTTATTTAGTTTTCGATATCAAATACTCCATAAGAATCTAACCGATCATTTAGTAATGGCTTATGGCTTATGAATCATTGTTTCTCTGAGGCATGAAATTAACATTTTTCTGGTCTATGATTCGCATATAATTTTATATTTAGATATGAATTCAATTTAATGTCTACAAATTCATTCAATTCTAAACATTATGCTAAAGTATTGCAAACTCATCAACATTTCTATTCATTAATAATTCATTAAGAATACATCAATTGTTTTGATTCCCTGTATTAAGAATCAAATACAAGAATCGCTAATATGTAATAAACATAAGTAATGGCTCATTAGGGAGACTATGGAATGAATCATACATTCTGTAAGATATTAACTACAGAATTACAACATTAAGAATATGAGTTAACAACAAATCCAAATGTGTCTAAATGTATGGAAATCAGAATCTACTCTACTTTATGTAACTTACTATAACTCTAACTACAATTAAGTCAATAAATTCTATGCTTTTATTTCCCTGTAAGATGTGTTATCGCGGGCCTCATATGATTGAATAGTATAGCGATTCCTATCTGTAAACAAAACTAGTAATACGCTTACCGTAAGTTAGTATAAGAGAAAACACATAAAAAGTGTTTCCGTGTGAAAATAGTAGCAAAGATTAAAATAACAAAATAAGTTAATTGATTGGATCGATAAAATGTATGGTAAGAAACAAATTCTCTATTCATGATACAATGTAAGCAAAAATAAATAAATAGAGTAATTACTAATGGATTCTTTTTTGATATCATCGCAAATATTTTCCACGGAATCGCTCTCAACAATCATTTCTTGGAGACTGGATTTGGTTGGTTTTGCGACCACAAGAGTCAGCAATCCCTCCGCACTCTTCAGGGCTGAAGCGGCCTATCATTGAATAAGCGATTCATTAAATCTCTCCAAAAAATGTTTTTATGCAACTTTTCAAACCATCTCATAGTCGGCTCCAATTAAATCGATTAAATTCACGCATAATATCATATCTCCGACGTTAAGTCCGACGGTAACTATTTTTTGAAATATAATTTAATTTGGGTTATACCGTAATTTAATAGTAGAATACAAATGCATATATTTAAGTTAATGAAACTATAGCCATAATTAAATTACTGTTATTTCTACGGGTATTTTATAGATTGTCGTTATGTTTAAAAATGATTAATGTTTTTAATTACAAGCGGGACTGCCTTCTTGAATATCCGAAACGAACACTCCTCGACCCAGTTCTGAGTGTTTGCCTTCAATGATCATAATCCCTAACCCTTGAGATCCCTATCAAGAGGT